AGAGTAAACTAGAAACCATCCATCCTCCCACTCCCAGATGTGAGAAAGGTAAATTGCTTTTGTCAAACCTTAGGGCTCAGGGAAAGGGAAAAATAATTTTCCCCTAAGGATTTAAAACCACTTGGCAATTAAAAGGAATGAACTATTTGTAAACACAACCACATGGATGAATCTCAAAAACATCACACAGGTTATTCAAAACCACATGATGATTACAGTGCAGTGTTATAATAGCCATACTGGCCCACCGCCAAAACACACACACACACACACACACACACACGCACACACACACACGCACACACACACACGATGGTCCTCATTTGGCTTCACAGGCTAGATTCTCACTACTTTACACAGCCCAATAAACCTCAAGCCAATAATTTAGTTTAAAGTGGTCCCAGACTGATACTGCTCTAGAGCTGGGCACACACACACACACACGATGGTCCTCATTTGGCTTCACAGGCTAGATTCTCACTACTTTACACAGCCCGATAAACCTCAAGCCAATAATTTAGTTTAAAGTGGTCCCAGACTGATACTGCTCTAGAGCTGGGGAGGGAAAATTTTATCAGTGAGTGGCCAGATAGTAAATATTTTAGGTTTTGTGCACCATATGGTGATGAAGCAACTACACAACTTTGCTGTTAAGAGTGCAAAAGCAGATATAGACAACATGTAAACAAATGGATGTGGCTATCTTCCAATAAAATTTTACTGACCAAAAAAAGGCAGAAGGCAGGATTTGACCTGTGGACTGTAGTTTGCTAATCCCTGCAGGAAGAAGATAAAATCCCGAAGAAGATGATGGATCATCATGAAATTTCTCTAAACATTCAAAGAAACAGGACTCCATGAAGAAGCAGCAGCAGAAAAAAATAGACTCAGACCCTCAAAAGACATAAAATTTTGGAGTTGTTGGAAATGAAACCAGGAGATAGACCCTGAACTTTCCAAGCTATTTCCCTGACACCAGTCAGAGCAAGCTTTGGCTGGAGAGAAGCGAGGTAACTAAAGAAAACCTGCTTGACCAAGTAGGATGGGGTGGATTCCTAGGAGCAACAAATTCAGATAATAATAAGAATAGAGTTGATTAAATATAAACTTCCTTAGGCTAAGACTTATCTGGAAGTCAGGATGTTTCTTCCTTAGGCTATGATTTAATGTGGAGGTCAGAATGTTTGTTCCTTAAATACTTTGTGGCTTAGGATAAAATCTGTAATGCCAATCTCAAGATGTCTTTGCAGATAACAAACAACTACCAGCCTGCTTTGAAGTCTGTACGCCTCCCATCTCGAGGGAGCCAATGGAGGACCTGAGCCAGGATGCTAGAAATAGCTACCTACACTGACCAATCAGATTCACGCCTGACTCCTGGGAACCCCACTCATGATTTTGATCTATAAATGCTTGTGATCTTAAGTGGTTGAGGAGTCTGGGGTCATAAAATTTCCTTTAGCTACCAGGGGCTCCTTTGAATGGCCATCCAAATAAATGCTAATCTTTAATACTGCAAACTTTGGTGTGAGAGATTTTTTAGACATTTGGGCAGTGGATGGTGGACCCCTCTCAGTTCAGTAAGAGAAAAAATATAAAATCAATAAGCATAAGGTACTTCAAAACTTATATGAGTAAGCAAGTTTGGAAAAAAATCCAGTATAACTCACAGAAATGAGAAATAAAAAACTGGAATTAGAAACTCAGTGAAAGGATGTAATAGTAAGGAGGTAGAATTGAAGAGAGAATTAGTGAAATCGTAAAACCAGAGCTTATCCAGAAAGAAGTCTAGATAGGAAAAAAAAAAATATATATATATATATAAAGAGAATAAGGGACATGTAGGATAGAGTGAGAAAGTCTGACAATTGTCTTTATTCCAAAAAGATAGGAGAGAGAAAATGAGGCAAAGGGATATCTGAGAACTTTCCACAATTTATGATGAAAAGCCAACAAGTCACAAGCAAGATGAATAACAAGAAATACACACCTACATATATCATAGTGAAATGGAAAAATAACAAAAACAAAAATAATTTTAAATACACTCAAATGTTAGCTTCAAAGAAGTAATAATTAGGCTGGTAGTTGACTTCTCAACAGCAACTATGGAATGATCTTCAGTGTGCTTAGAGAAAAATACTGTCAAATCTGAATATAAACTTCTACATCCAGCAAAAATGTTCAAGGATGAGTACAAAATAAATATACTTCCAGAAAAACAAAAACAGGGAGTTTGCCACCAGCAGACTCTCACTAGAGGGAAGTGATCCCAGACAGAAGGCTAAGAATAAAAGAGGGGAGGAATGATACAGCACGTGGCGGCAGTGCAGGTGAACACTGACCACGTAAAACTGATGATGCTGCTGCTGCTGCTGATGATTACAACAATGACAACTTGTGGGATTAAAAAAAGTAATTAAAATGCATAATAGCATATAAATTAAGGGAAGATAACTGGAATTCAAGTTCTAGGGTCACTGTATTATTCAGGAGAGTTATGAAAATGATCAACTTAAGACTTTGATAAGCATGCAAGTTGAAACCTTTAAGATAACCACAGAATTGAAATAAGCCTATTACACAGAGAAGATAAATGGAAATAATAAATCCAAGAGGGCAAGAAGAGAGAGGGAAACAACAGAAGAAAGAGAAAGCACAAAATAAGATGATAAAAATAAACCCAAATACGTTATTATACTAATTATAAATGTCGCTCTCAGAGAGGGAAACAACAGAAGAAAGAGAAAGCATAAAATAAGATGATAAAAATAAACCCAAATACGTTATTATACTAATTATAAATGTCGCTCTCATATACTGCTCATGGGTTGTGTAAAATGGTCCATTTTTGGAAACAGTGTGGCTGTCTCTACACTAACACTGAATATGCTATCCTATCATACAGCAATCCTAATTCCTATAAACATACAAGCTAAAGAAGCTCTTGTGCGTGTATACCAGACATACACAAGCATGGTTACAGCAAAGCTAGAAATAATCTTACTGTCCATCGACAGTAACTGGAATAAGAAATTGTGATTTTTAATACCTTCCAGGATATAGTCATGTTCTATCTATTGGCCTGGGCAATAAGTATGCAGGTATTTGTTTTTATTGTCACCCTTAAAGTATACCTGCATACTTTCATACACTTTTGTATTTTCTATCATTTCACAATAAATAAGAAGACAAGTGAGAATCAAAGAATTGTCAAAGGCTGCAAAGCCAGTGAGTGCTACAGTCTCAATGAGAAAATGTCCTGTGACTATTCTATCACCTTCACCATTATTCCAAAAACTAGCATCAACTACTAGTATCAATCCACTAGGAAGGAGTGTTAAAAAAAACAGAATCAAACACACTGCTTTTGTCAAGACCGTTATTACGGCTCCTAACTTACAGTAGCAATCCCAGATCCTAGCCTTGTCCCCATCTCCCATCACAACCTACTTTGTCCTGCCAGGAAGCAGTCTAGGTCAGTAATACCACATTTCAGAAACAGAGACTGAGAGCAGCTTTGGCCAAGAGGAAGTCTTCATGACCACAATATATTATCTGTAATCACAGATAAACCAACAACCCTTATCGTATGTGTTAAGATATCAACAGAATGCCCAAGTGCAACACATGCACTGAAGGGATTACGCAAATCACCAAGACAAAGTCGAGTATGCCTAGGAAAGTCTGTTTATACAAGAAAACTTTCCTCAACTGTTCTTTGCACCAGACTGCCATCCAGGAATATTTCTCCTGTCTCTAAGTATATTTACTGTTTCTCACGTGGCTGCTCATCCAAACCCAGGATGTGCCACCATCTTTCAGAAAACCTTGGCAAGGGTTGGAATAAAAAAAGGGCAACCTCAAGGTTCAATTAGTGAATCTACGTAAGGGTTAGATGAAAGGTCTTATCTGATGGGATCTTCTACCAAACACTGCCTACCTTTGATATCTCATTACAATTATAGAACACTCAGGATTACTAAATTCTGTACACAATATTTCTAAAGTGGATATGAAATAATACCAGGGAAGGCAAACACAGAAAAGGAGTTGTAAGGAGCATAAGCTAAATCGGAGCAACACATGGGCACTTCAAAAAGTTCATGGAAAGATTCATGGTATCTTTTAATTTTATTTTTCCACAGACTGCTCGAAGTACTTTCATATTATCTTTCCAAAACATGTTTTCAGTAATATGGCAATTCCTCAGGCAACTTGAAAAATAGTCGTGTAAATCAAAGACCTACAAGACAAAAGTTCTGATGGAAGTAGCATTAGATTATCTAGTGAGAATGTGACAGCATTATTGTTTTCGCAGTGCTCTCAAAAAGGTACATTTTATCAGTGTCCAAACAAAACAGCTGTTAATTGTTCTATCAGCTTTTCTGAGAACTGTGCTAATAAGTGGATTTATTAATTCTAGCTTTTTCAGTAAAAAGAAACAGAAACTCCTTTTTCTGAGAAAAAACAATAACAGAAAAGAGTCACCCCAACATACATATTTGGATTTGCTGATTCTCTATCAAGATCACCTCTAATAGAATTTTGGGGGCCAAAACTTAAAGCAACAACAAAGGCATAGGGTGAGTGGGAGTTGAAAACAGAAAGGTAGGTGACCATGAGGGTAACCTGTTTATAAATTTTCTTGTGGGATCAAATTCATCTAGCTAGATAGGAAGAGTATATACTGATAGTGCTATGCCAGGCCTACCTAATAGTCAATTAGATATAATTGCCTGAGTTCACCTGCAAAATAACTGAAGTCTGTGACTTTGCTCAAGGTGGAGTCCACAGGGCCAGAGTCCAAATAACTAGGCAAAAAAAGAAGAAAAAAAACAGACCAGTGGTTCATGTTGTTTCCCAGGTGTTCCAGTCCAGTAAAATCTAACTATGTCATTGAAACGAAAAACAAACAAGACTTGTTTGTACTAAGAAAGAATTCAACTTACTCAAAACCAGAAGAGGCTGGAGAGGAGGAAAAAATAATGCAACACACATTTAGAAATATAGAATTTATTTATATTCATGGTAAGAGTTTCACATTCGGTATATGGTTACCAGAAGAGATACAATACTTTTGAGAGCTTATGACAGCATTATATTGCTATCAAACATTGCTTATGCTGTGTGAGTTGAGGAACACCTATTTCCCCCTTTAAAAAATTTAAGGCTCAGTTTCCAAAAGATCATTATATTACATAAATTTCTGTTTAAGAGACTGGGAAAGTTTGGAAATAAACCACTAAGGGGTTGAGGGTGAGGGGCAGTTCTACAACATTTGCTCATTCATACTGAAGATATTCAAAGTGATGTTTTTTAAAGCCTCCTTCTATAAGTTTGGTTGCAAACACAAACAAATCAATAGATGGGAGGAGAACTAGGTATAGATCTTTAGCATACAAATGGAAAACTAACTAAGCTCCTTGTCACCAATTGCTGGCTAAAATGGTGCGTGGGTTGCCTACATATAAATGCACACACACATTAACTTTGACTCACTTATTTTACTTATTTATTTTTTCGCAGCTGACTGGTAAAGGGATTTAAACCTTGACCCTGGTGTTATATAACAGTGCGCTCTAACCGGCCAGCTCAGACTCACTTTTCTTTGGGAAGCTTATCAAATAGTATTTCTCCTCCAACACACCAGTAAAAAATAATTTACATTTCCTTTCGACTTTCAGATCAGATGACCATCAAGTTGTCCTTTTCCTTAAATATAGTTCTCCATTTTTGTCTTCTACCTTGCAGTAAAACACAACCATAACAGTAACCTCACACTGATTTGTAATCCCATTTGAGTGACCGAAGGGAGCAGGAAAGGTAATTAAGAAAAGAGAGTTTGGGGAATTTTTTGAAAATTATCATATCAGTGAGTTCCAAACACACTTTAGAAGCACGTTTTCCTGTACAAATATTTCACTCAATCAACAATGACACAATCATTTTACAAAAGACAGAATCTGTTTTAACTCAGTAAACTACCTTACACTTCATGGGGCTAATGCAATAACAACAAAAGTCAGAAAGGGCACCTGTAGATTCTGCCTCTGGCACAAAGAGGTAGAGACAATCATTCTGTAGAAAAGATTAACAATAAAAAAAAAATAAAATAAAACAAACAAAACTCCCCCTCAAAACCATTCCATTTCTAAGGGCAAATTCTGAGGAGCCGAGTTTATCTATGGGATGGGATCAGTCCGACTCTGAGTTGAAAGACCCATTGCCTACAAGCATCTTGCTGTAATTCTTCTGCTGCTCTTCCCTAAAGGTGTCCTTCACCTTTGCTCTCTTCAGCCCTCCATCCCTGGGAACAGAAAAATAAACATATAAAAGATACCCCCCAGCAATGATGTAAAAGGCTTACATAGTAAAACAGACTATCCTCGACTTCATGATGGTTTGATTTAGGATTTGACCTGACAATGGTGCAAAAGTGATATGCTTTTAGTAGAACCTGTATTCCCATTCTTTTTTACTCTTTCAGTATAGTACTCAATAAATTACATGAAATATTCAACAGTTTATTATAAAATAGGCTTTGTGTTAGATGATTTTGCCCAACTATAGGCTAATGTCAGTGTTCTAAGCACAGTTAAGGTAGGCTAGGCTAAGCTATGATGTTGGCTACATTAGATGTAGCAAACACATTTCAACTGACGATATTTTCACCTTCTGATGGATTTATCAGGACATAACCCCATCATAAGTGGAGAAGCTTCTGTACATGTTACATGGTGCCATGACACTTAAACAGCTGGTCAGCAATAGGGCAAAGATCACTGGATTTGGAAGCAGCAAGACCCAGATTTCAGTCTCTACTCTACCACTTGCTGAACATATGTTATTTTGAGGGAGGAACAATCTCTCTAGTGCTTGCTTAAAATAAAAAATAATATCTCCACTCAGTTTTTTTTTTAAGTTAGGGCTTAGGGCTGCTATAGTCAATAGTTAGATTCAAACAAGAATTATAAAAACTAGGATTGTTTCCCTATATTTTTCCCCAAGGAAAACAAAGTATTCATTTTTCATCTACATATGTTTCACTGGAAAACCATATGGAAAATTTAAAATAAACACACATGAAAAGTGAAGATGCTGTATATGTGTGGATAAATTCCTCAGAGATAACTGGGTTAACCATTATTCAAATCTAACCCTGTGTTTAACAAGTTGTGTTTTCACTCAAGCATTATATTTCCAGTATTAATAATCTTCCATATTCCAAAACAAACACAGAATAAAACAAACAAAATCATAAACTGCATTCAATCAGAAAGTAGTGCCTGTGTAAGCAGCCTTTCTTCATTCAGAGCCTGTGAATCTCTGAACTCTCTCCAGGGCGGTGAAAACACAGACCTGTCTGTGTTATAAGGACCCTTCATGCCTTTCGTTCTTTGGACTACACAAAGAAACAACTGACTGGAAGAGCTGGAAGGAGAATGGACAACCAGGGGTCACTATCTCCCTCCTAATCTACTGTTTCAGATTTTAACTCTTAGGAGTGTGGACTGAGAACTTGCTTACTTTATACCGTGACTGTTTAACTTTAACCCAGTAAAGCACAAATGTTTACCAAGTGCTTTCTGAGGATGATAAATGATCACAAGTTAGCCAGTGAACTCAATGACATGAGAGAACTTGACTTACATACAGATGCCTGCCTGAGACCATGGCAATGTTCTAGCTTCTAGAGTCAAATTTAAGACATGGCCCACCAGTAAGTCCTCGACTGAAAAATAGACTGCAGTCCACGCATTGTCCAAGGGGTCAGCTGTGGGAGTTCTCATGAAACAAGACTTTAAATTGTTGTGAGGCCCTCAGAATTGTCCACATAAGCCTCTTTTATCTAAATGAACCACCTGTAACTATTCATAACATTTACATGAATTCTGAATGGTGAGAACTAAGGAAAGGAGGAAGAGAAAAGAAAGGCTTTCTCCTTTCCTGAGGTCCAGGCCAAAAACAGGCAAAAATTTGAAGTGAGCAACATTTGCCTCTGAGCATACTGACATTATTTTTGTAGAATTCACCTTCCTAAGCACCCCAGCTGTGACTTGCCACCCCTGGAGACTTCAAAGTTTTACCCAATTCCCCTTTGCAATGGCAGGAGTCATATATGAGTATAAGAGCCCCTTTAAGATCATACTATTAAGTTCTCACTTAACCTACAAAAAAAGCAATCTAGTCGTGTTAATTCACATGCAATGGTAGATAACAAGTGTATCTAGAAAGGCAGTGAGGCTATTTTCATTTTTAAGAAAATGGCCAGGTAACTAAAAGTAATCTTTTATTCTAAAACTGCATATGGCCCAATAAAAGGAAATTGAAAAACTATGAGGAATACTTTTGATGGAGTTAGTTAAGCCAGTCTGATGGTGAGCCTGTCCTGTGGCTGACTCTCCCCTAGGCTGTTTTTTTCTCTCAAGGCTTTCTTTCCTCCCTCTGAGTCTGCAACTACACATCTAAAGCTCTAGGCTTTTCATAACGGCTTCAGGACAGCTTCCGGGTAGGAGCAACTGGGCTGGGATGTCAGGTAAAAGGAAAGGTGGGAAACGAGAAAAGAAAAAAAAAAATAATAAGGAAAAGGAAGCCAGTTACACATATGAACACAGACCACCAAAACATTTGTAGGCTAAGGGAAACCTGTAATTTTATGATTTATGATATCTGTCATTTAGGTTAACATAGTCCAATCTAGACAGAATAATATAAATACTTGTCTTAAACTATACCTTAGGGCTAGTCAGTTGCCCTAAGAACTTATACTCTGGGTGGGCCGGCCTGTGGCTCACTCGGGAGAGTGCGGTGCTGATAACACCAAGGCCACAGGTTCGGATCCCATATAGGGATGGCCGGTTTGCTCACTGGGTGAGTGTGGTGCTGACAACACCAAGTCAAGGGTTAAGATCCCCTTACCGGTCATCTTTAAAAAAAAAAGAACTTATACTCTGGGGAGGCCAGCCAGCATTTAATCAGAAGGCCACCTTCCAAAGGTGCCACACAAGGCTCCAGCTGTCTTCATCTCTTATCAATCTCCCAAGCTTTGTTAATTAGCATAATGAATTTTAGAGGTGGGTTTTCACTGTAGAAAATCAGTGGCTATTAATCAGCATAATGGATGCCAGAAACAAAGCTTTCCTGGGTGAAATTAGTTGTATTCAAGATACATAAACGGGTAAAATGTGATATTCCCCATTCTTGCATAAAGGAGAATAAGAATCCAGTCAGCCCTCCTTTCAAGAGGCTTACTCCCTAAACAGTCCTAAGTCCCTCTGCTGATACAGACGGTTCTTTGTCGCCCAGCTGGCAGCCTGACTCAATTGGCCAAATCCTGCACCTAGAATACTGCTACAATGGCCTCAAATGAACTTTTCATGTTAGGTGTTTTTGAAACACCAGAAAAGATAGCAGGGACTTTATCAAACTTATAAAAAAAACTTGAAGCATGAACCACTTTGCGACAGCTTGTTAATGTAACATCTGTATGTGTAAGAATTTGATCCCATTATCATGTAGGTATCATTAACCCTGTTACAGACTGAATGTTTTTGTCCCCCCAAAATTCATATGTGGAAGCCCTAAACCTCAGTGTGATGGTATTTGGAGATGGGGTCTTGGGAGATAATTAGGTTTAGATAAAGTCATAAGAGTGTGGAGCCCTCATGATGGGATTAGTGCCCTTATAAGAAGAGACACCAAAGAGCTTGTGGTCTCTCTCTCCCCATACATGGCACAAAGAAGTCGTGTGGAGGGCTGGACTGTGGCTCACTTGGGAGAGTGTGGTGCTGATAGCACCAAGGCCATGGGTTTGGATCCCTGTATAGGGATGGCCAGTTGGCTCACTTGGGAGAGCGTGGTGCTGACAACACCAAGTCAAGGGTTAAGATCCCCTTACCAGTCATCTTTAAAAAAAAGAATACACACAATAAGAAAGCCACCATCTGCAACACAAGGGAAGAGCAAGAGCCATCACCAGAAAAACTGACCATGCTGCCACCCTGTTCTCAAACTTCCAGCCTCCAGAACTGTGAGTAAATAAATTTCTGTGTTTACGCCAACCAGTATATGTTATTTTGTTACTGCAACCCAAACAGGCTAATATACTCGCCTACATTCAATCTTCCTCAAACAAACAAAAAACTGAAGCCATAGTTATCCACAACTGAAATATTTTACTTATTTCCTTTCTTTCAAGTTTTTAAGTTTCCTTTAACATAGTCCTAGCTAGAGTTAAGTATGAACAAGCCTGGAAGTAACTCCTTGATTCCCGATGCTCACCCCACCCCCAATCCATTCTCCCTTAATTCTTCAATAAAAGAACCCTAATTTTTAGCTAGGCACATGGCCACCCAGAACAAAGACTACATTCCCCAGCTTCTTTTGCAGCTAGGTGTCATTTCATGACTTGAGAACTGGCCAACAAATACAAGTGTAAGTGGCATGTCCAGCTTCCAGGGTGTGCCCTTAAAGAGATGGTGTGCTCTTTTTTAATTCCTTCCTGCTAACCACCTGCTGTACACACTGGGTGCTATTGGAGCTGCCATCCTGGACCATAAAGAAGAGCACATATTGAGGACAGTAGAGCAATGAGCTGTTATGCCAGTCTGGACTGCTCATGTTTATGTGAGAGAGATAAACTTCTATCTTTTTTTCTTTTGCCTAAACTGGTTCAGTGGTAAAACTTCTATCTTATTTAAGCCACTGTTATTTTGTATAAATCACTATCACTTCCAGCTAAAGCAACAGCTAACTAGCATAATAAATGACATTATTAACAGAGATTTTTTCAGAAGATAGCACTTCTGAAAAATTTCTTACCAGGGAAGTTCAGTCAATCCTCCTTGTATTGCAATAGCAGACTTAACCCTATTAGCAAACTGGACTGCATCTTCTCCTTCCTGATTAAAAACATAAATTACAAGTACATCTTGGGTATAGAGCTTTTAAATAATACCTTAAAATGTCTCGTAAACATTTATATTTATTCTAAAATATTAGATTCACATATTAGTTAAAATACTTTCTATTGTCAGTCATAGCAAATATCATTTGCTCTATCAAGAAAATGCATTGCTGTATCTTTTTTTATCATGTGCATATATTTATTTATGGTTTTTATTAGTCTTGTCCAAGAGACAAGATTTCATAATATCTATAGGTTCAATAAACCAACAACTGTAAAACTATCATGGAAAAGAGTCTCAATAAAAAATGGCTAAATACATTATTTAAAAATGACTCATTTGCTGAGAAAGCAGAAAGGCAGGATGTGAAGAAGAGTTTCAGGTAAATGTTTTCCTGCGTTTATCTGATTAGATAAAACATCAAAGACTGGCTGTTATGTAAGGAATACCTCTCTGGTCATGGGGGGCATGTACCACACGTCACAGACGATGGCCCAGCTGGTCATCATTCGAAGCAGGTAGCTCACCATGTTGTACTTACTACTGTTCCAAAATGCATCACCAAACTGAGGGTTATACTGATAAGAAACAGAAAAAAATGCATCCCAGTTATGAACTAAGTGTTGGCTTCTCTTATCCCTCTCAATGTTTTCAAGGTGATAGGTCAAATATTTCTATCAGACCCCTAGAAAAAGACAAGTTACTTCGCTTGACAAATCAGGCCAGCTAACTCTTCCAACTTGAGCTGACTGCTTTTCCAACTAGAGCTCCAGAGAGCTGCAACAAGAGAGTTATTTATATCTCTTGACTATTAAATATCTTTCTCCACACTTACCTGGAAGGCCGATGAAAGTAGGAGCAGTATCTGTTTTGCTTATCATTATGTCTTCCATACGTAAGACAGGCTTGGTACACAGAGACCCAGTACATATGTGTATACAGTCATCCCTCGGTATCTGTGGAAGATTGGTTCTAGGACTTCCCTTGGATACCAAAATCAGCAAATGCTTAAATCCTTGATACAAAATTGCACGGTATTTGTGTATAGCTTGTGTGCATACTCCCATGTACTTTAAATCATCTCTAGATTACTTATAATACCTAATTCAGTGTAAATGCTGTGTAAATAGTTGTTATACCATATTGTATTTTCACTTATATTCTCTTTTATTGTGCATTGTTATTATTTTTTTTTTAACGCGTATTTTCAGTTGGTGGTTGGCTGAATCTGCATGTGCGGAATCTGCATGTGCGGAACCTGCAGACACAGCGGGCTGACTGTATGTACGTAAGCAGAGAGAGAATGAGAAAGCAAATGAGGCAAAATGTAAAGAACTGGTGAATCTGAGTGAAGAGTACACAAACGTTTGAAAGTATGTTAAAATAATCAATCCAATGTCCTTTTTTTTTTTTTTTGATATCTGTTTTACCTTAATTGCAACTGGATGTATGGTTCCTCCAATTTCAAAGCTTCCCTTTTTAAACATCATGACTGAAGTATTATTGATGCAGGTTCCTGCAGGAGGGTAGAAGGGGGAGTGAATATTTTTAAAGGTAGTCATTTTTTAAACAAATTTTAAAAGGAATTATTTTGATATGAAATAATTTAAAATTATCAAAGTTACAGACATTTCACAAATAAGTCCCTGCTTAAGTAGTAATCTGACAGTTCTAAGTGGGATTAATAAACTTTTACTTCATTATTAAGCACTTTATGGGTACAACTTCTTCACAATAGGTGACAATTTCAATACATTTAAAACATGACCCTCAAAAAGTCATGGACAATACTTTTCTGAGTTCATTGCCCAGAAATGACTTTTAAAATCCAAAAGGTACCATGACTTCCATCAAATCTCAAAAGGAAATTAAAAGCTCGGAGAAGGTCATCCCATTCCAATAGGACATGGACTAAGAATGCCAATTCTAGAACTATTCTATCCCTCATATACTTTGGTTGGTTTGTTGTTATCAACTGTATTTTGGTATGCAGTCCTTGTTCTTACCTTCAGGAAAAATTAATATGGGTAACTTTTTCTTATCAGCAATATGTTCTTTTAGTCTGAAGAAAAAGAATAAAAATTCTACCTTTAAAAAGAGAAAGGTGAAGTCCTTTTTGGTATTCTTTATACTCTACTAGCACAAATATAATTGTAAAGCAATGAGGAAAAAAGAAATAAGATGTAAGTGAAGGAAATAAACTCAAGTTGTTCCCTTTCTAAAAAAGTATAAGGAGATTTGCACTATTTCAATTTCTCTAACTTCAAAGACAGTGATTTTCAGTGCCTTCTGCCTACTGTTAAAAAAGAATACTAAACAGTCATGTGACATGAGCTTTGCAACCTTCTCCATGTATTTACATTTCCTCATCTGAAAAATGGGAACACTGATTGCTGGACCTGTCTGCATGATGACCATTAAGTATAGGAAGACTCCTTAAATGAGTGGGGCTGAACTTTTCCTATTAAATACATACCATAAAGCTGAGAATGACTGACATTCTTCCCGGCTTACATCCTGTCCTGGAAGCCATCCCTAGATTAACCAGCTCTGCTCATCAGACGCTGGTAGGGCTGAGACACAGAGACTGCAGCTGCCAGAGTGTCCCATTGCTAAATAATCTCAAGATGAGAAATAGTTTTTCCAACCTGAAGCATATTTCAACAAGTACTTCTCAATTTACTCTTAAGAGCATGAGCCACCTTAGTATTTATAGAAGCAATGACCAATGTGCCTTAAGTTAAAGACCTCAAGCAAAAATCTATTTCCCAACAAAGGTTTCTGGTAGGTCATCTCTACCCTAAACCTAGCGGTTCCTTCTCCTGCTGTTTCATCAAGAACATTAGCTCTGCCTCTTGCTGGATTTAAGTGATAGCAGTCATGCCGCAAACATTTAATCAACTACTATTTATTCAGCAAACAGTTATCAATTATTTAACCTTCAAGGTAGTAATTTTTAACTTCAAAAATTTAGTGACTGGACTAATCTAAATCATAGCAATATAGACACACAGGCCTCCTAATCCCATCTTATATCCCATATTATTACAGATTTAAACTATTTAAAAATCTCACTAAGACAGGTGATACACCAGAAAAATTCAACTACAAATAGAGCTCTGTGTGTTTTAGTTTTGATCCTTAGTGCTGCTCTGCCCTCTTTGGCAGGAAGGCCTAAATGTAGCAGCTTTTATGCTACCCCAACGAATACTGAGTAATCTCACTGCTTACCTCTGAGTAACCAGGTGTCGATCCTTCATTTCTGAGCGTTCAAACCAGACATGTGGACAAGCCTTGACCATAGCTCTCTGAATAATTCCCATCAATCCACCATGAACCTGGCCAACCTAGAAGTACCACAAGAAAAAGAGAAAAATGTAAAGATACAGCTGTCCAAAGAATGCTTTTTTTTTTTTTTTTTAATTACCAGTAAATTCCTATTCCCCACTCAGAGATAAGATTGGCCTTCTTCAACTGACTGGAGTTCTTAGTCTGATCAAAGGACTTGAAAGGCCAAATGTAAGCAAGAAGTATTATTGAATAGCACCTTTAAATTTTAAGTTACCTTGCTGCACTAGCTATCCTCTAGCTTCAAAAAGCTGAGGTTCTTCAACTTACTCAAGATTAGAGAAATGCAAATTAAAACTACACTGAAATACCATTTCAAACCCAACAGACTGAAAAAGATTCTAAAGTTTGATAGTATGCTCTGAGGCAAGGCTACGGGAAACAGTCACCCTCATACTCACATTGTTTTGGGGGAAGGAGGGGAGATTACAGCACCAATGTAAGGAAATTTGGCAACATCTATCAAAATTACATACACATTCATCCTTCACACCCCCATGAACAGTGTTTCAAGGTGTTTGGTTTTGCTGTGGGCTTTGTGGTTTGTTGCTGGGTTTGGGGGCTGTGGCAAGGACTGAGAAAGGCAATGTAGTGTAAATATCTGCCGTTCTTGCTAGATCCTCATTAAAAAGCCAGATTTTGTTTAATTGCATTTAACTCTCTGAAGGAAGAGAGAAATAAATGGCTGGCTAAGGGATCTACACAACTCTAAAGAGGAAGACTTTAACATTACAAAGTGTTATCAAGCATTGGCAGCAATTTTAGAAGCATAAGGGAATCAACTTTACAAAGTCCTATCAAACTCAAGCATGTCTACATTTTAGTGAGTTAATTTTTTACTATCTTAAATATAATGGCTATTTTCTTTTCTTTACTTGCACTATATATTCCTCATGTAAATATATTATATAACTTACATAGCTGCAATACTATAGCCCAGTCAAATTTCTAATATAAAACTAACTTCCTAATTTGTAACAAAATGAAAAGTTTGAGCAATGCACAAAACACATAACTAACTGAAATATCAATGAGCTGCTCTTACCATAGCATAACATCCATCCGTTGCCAAGATCAAAACATCTATTGGAGAGGTATGGTTGGCAACACAAATGCCTCCCTTCTGAGGTCTATACTGCCTGTAATTAAAAACAATGGTAAATACTAAGCCATGAAAAATGGTCTCTATTATGCAGAACAGCATGTAAAGACTCATCCTGTTTTTTTAAGTATATTTTAAAAAACAGTTTGGAGGCACATGGGCTCATCTTTAAAAGTAGGTAGAAGGATGGGAGTGGGGTAAGGGGTTCATGACTCTCCCTTTTTTTTTTTTTTTTTTTTGTCCTTTTTGAGACCGGCCGCACCACGCTCAGCCAGTGAGCGCTGTGAGTGCACCGGTCATCCCTATATAGGATCCGAACCCGCGGCGGGAGCGCTGCTGTGCTCCCAGCGCTGCACTCTCCCGAGTGCGCCACAGGCTCAGCCCATCCCTTTATAATATGTAAGTTTTTCTTATTTTAACTATTTTCACTAAGCATTTTCATATTATTATCATCTTCACAAGTATGACTTTTAGTGGCTTCAAGGTGATCCACAGAGAAAATTTACCATAGTTTCCTTCCTCCTATCCCTCTAGAGGAAAGGTCAGAAAACTTTTCCTAACAAAAACCAGATAGTAAATTGTTTAGGCTTTTCATGCCAGACAATCCCTGTCACAATTACTCAACTCTGCTGCTATGGCATAAAAGCAGCCACAGACAATATGTAAGTGAATGAGTATGGATGTTTTCCAATAAAACTTTATTTACAAAAAACATATGGCAGGCCAGATTTGGCTTACAGGCCCATAGTTTAGTTTGCCGATCTCTACTCTAAAGTTAAAGCAACATTTGTTTGGGTTTATACAGAGAAGAAAGGGAGCCAAATACATAATGACTTTAGCATATTTTCCTTAAAATGAGAAGCAATCCTATAATAAATTATGAATTCCTCTCTATGGAATTAAAGTGCCTTTTCTGCAGAAGGTGTCTCCTCTGACCACGCTTCTGCCAGAAACTCCTTGCCTTGAAACTCATAGTCCAATCACAAAATCATATATCTTAAAATTCTTAAGAGGCCTTTTATGTGGGTAACTCATGGTAAAGCCAAATGGTTAAATGTTTCCCTTATACAAATGAGAGAGAAAGACTCAATCAGTAAAAAAGAAAAGCTTGTTCTAAAACTTTTTAAATGATGTTATGTTTTGTTTTGTTTTTTGTCTTTTTTGTGACCGGTAAGGGGATCGCAACCCACTGGCCATCTCTATATAGGATCCGAACCCGCGGTGGGAGCGCTGCTGCGCACCCAAGCACCGCACTCTCCCGAGTGTGCCACAGGGCCGGCCCTAAATGATGTTATGTTTTAAAAAATAAAATCGAGTTGACAGAAAAGTAATTCAAAAGCCATCAAAATCACTTTCACTTAGCTAATAACTTTCCTTAGCTATACTTATTCTATATGACTAAGGGATGAGAGAAAACAACTTCTTTCAATTTACATGGAAGTAGAAAATCAAATAAAGACTATGACAATGAAGTGAGCAGAATTCAAACAAGAGGGTTGAGACCGTAAATCTAATGCAATGTGTAGGAATCAAGCAAATATTCTCTTTGTGGACACAGCTAAGAAAAAAGAAAATCCTATTTATAGCTAGAAACATTTCACCTATTGTCTGGCAACTACCAACCAGTTTTGTTTTAAGGCTCAGTTGTAGAATTTTAGAGGTGGCAGGATGGGACTAGAAAGCAGGCCTCCAGACTCCAAGTCTAGTCCTCTTTCCACCACACTAGAGGCCTGTCAGCTTCATCATTTTTAAATCAGACAGACCCAGCTCAAAATCTGCCACTTACTATGTGACCCTAAACAACTAATCCCAGAGCTTCCATTTCTTTACCTGTAGAAATACAGGGCCTACACACTGTAAATGAACAATTATTAAACACAACTAGATGTTTATTATTTTCCTTCTGCAAATACACTGCTTTTCATAAAATGTTGTTGTGCATTATGTCTATTGCATCCTGAGAAACGGGCATGAGCACACTGGAAGTTGTCAGACTCACCTGCTTCCTCCCACCCACTTTCAATGCTGTCTTGTCAACCTCATGCTGAAATTTACCTAGAGAAAGGCAGGCATGCAGCCAACAGACACTCACTTGTTATGGTAATGAATGGTACCAGAGAGGGCCCGAACACAGATCCGGCAGCAAGTCAGATGAACCAGCTCACTGAGCCGGTTTTTGAGGCTGAAGGAAAAAGAAAACATTTTACCGTGCAGTTCTGGGCAATCCTGAGAAACAAAACAATGAAAGCTTTAATGTGCTCTTTCACAACAGCATACTGTGTTCTATTCTATTGAACAAGCACAGTTCAATTCTTATAGTCTCATCAATGCATTTAGTATTAGATGGCAAAAGTTTACCAAGAGAATTGGACAAAACTCTAATGGAAAGTAGCTCCCACCCTACTAGATTATTATGATAAATTCCTGAACAAAATAAGTTGAAGGTTCTTTGGTCTTGGCCTTATGAGCCTGCCAATACTATAGGACTCTTTTTTCCTTTGGGTTCTTTAGTCTATTTTATTTCTTCTCTTCATTTCCCCTTTGAAAAAACAACTTTTCAATTTACATTGAAGCGTAATGGAAAAGTAAACAAAGACTATGAAGATGAAGTGAACAGAATTCTAAGAAGTGGGTTGAGGTCATAAATTTAATGCAATACATAGGAATCAAACAAATATTCTCTTTGTGGACACAGCTAAGAAAAAGGACAGTCCTGTTTACAGCTGAAAATATTTTACCTGCTGTCTGCCAGCTGCCCAACCAATGTAGTTCCTATAACCAGCAAACTGATCCCAATGAAAGCCAAGGTAACCCTGAAAAAGAAAAGGTAATACCAAAATTAGTTGAATAGTAGGGAAAAAGAAAAATAATCTAGAAGTTCATAAATAATGAAATTGTAAATAAATTGTAGACCATCCATAGTATGAAATATGATGCAACTATTTAAAGAGTTGGGTAAGTCTATAGATTCTGACATGGAAGAATGTTCTTTGATACACTTTGAAAGAAAAAAAGCAAAGTAAGCTTTGAAATAACATATTGAGTATGATTACCATTTTCAGAATAACAAGCACATACATTATGTGTGACTAGTCTATATGCAAAGAGAAGGCCTAGATATTTGTTCATGAAACTGTCAAGTTCTTTTTTTTTTTTTTTTTTTTTCCTTTT